TGCTTAATAACTCAACTTGCCTAATACCAAACTCCTAATCCTGCCCCATCTTATAGGCATCCTCCCCTCTAACCTTTCCTGGCTCTGCTTCTGAGATCTATTCCAGCACTCCTAACAGTCCAAGCCTAACACAAACACTCACATCATTCCCCAGTATTTACCACTGTACAATGCAGTAAGTGGTACCAAGTTCTGGAATAAACAGGAAAATTTCATCAGGAAATGTAAATTAGTCCATGATTTGATTACACCTGAACAGTATCTTTATGAAATATATTCTTCAAGCGAGAAGAAATGCAGGTGTGTTGACTTCCTAAAGTTAATGCCTACTATATCAGTATTGACTTTTTCAGGACCCTTAGGATTTAGCAATTTGGTAATTTTTTTAATCCCAAATATTAATAAAAGTCTTCTGGACAAATACAAACTTATCTCAGCAATATTGTACTCCCTGATGGTGTTTTGACTTACAGTTGATTGTTGAATAAATTAATTGAATTAACAAACTAAAAGTCTCAGGATATAGGATTTGAGAGGTTTTTTTCTAAAATTTATATACTGCAATATCTCTACTATTGTGCAAATGTTTATTCTCAGATAAAAATATTCTCTTGTTGAAGGATAAGTGGTAAATTCTACAGTGTTTAAAAGCTACCAAGATGAAGGGGGAAGAGAAGGAGGAGGAATAGGAAATGAGGAGGATAAGGAAAAAAGAATAAAAAGAATTATGTGTTCTCATCAGCTATGTTTGATCACAGTGCTCCCCTCAGAACTTTCTTATTAGAACATGAAAAATTATCTAATCTAAGATCTTGAAAGATCCTCTCCACAGCTTTATCTTTATAAAGGATTAGAGATTGAATGGAAAGGGAATGTGATTCTTGTTTATAAATTCAGAGCTTATTGAGCCAGGGAAATCTGAACTCTCCTTTCCTCACCCAAGTTGATACAAGGTGCTGAACTTTATGAGAAGGTGGAAACCAGAAAAAAAGACTTCGTCTTTCTGGGTCATTAATTATTCATAGAAAGTATTGCTGTAAAAAAAAAATGCCAGTACAGAGTATTCTTACTTTTCTGACCATGGACTTTTGCCATGTCAGAGGCAATTTTGGAGAGGAGAATAAGACAGTAACAAATTCTTGTTCATCAATGTATATGCCCAATAAAATTCCCCTTCATCTCCATGAAAATGGAAGAGGAGTTAAGAACAAACCAGGGTATTGGTTCATTAAATCTCTACTGACTCCCATTTGAAGAAGGCAATTTAACTTCAAAGGAGACCCTAAATTCACATCTGATCCTAATTCCATTGTACAGATTAACTCACCATAGTTTACAATATCTTTAGTACAGCTGGTGCCCTTTCTTCTGCAATACCCCAAAACACTCCTAAACTCTACAAATCCAGGGAAATAATGTTTGATAGTACTATTAGACTGTGTATAACAACCATATGGTTTTAAAGTAGGATAATTGTGTTTTTAACAAATGGGCACCCCTTTGAAGAAGGGAAATATATGTCAATTATAGTGATACATTGTCTCCAGGACTTGAATGACACTCCTGAAAGGGCTGCAATTCAGCTTGACATCTCTCATCACTTCCTGGCTTTAAGATTAAAGAAGCACAAGTTTGTTTTTTCAGCTGTAAAGGGCTCCTACCGCCTCTGACCATCATCTTCTTCCCCCTGTTGGGGTTTTATGCCCATGACCAGGATGATTTCAAAAGCACTCCTGATTCTAACACATTATCTTCCATCTCTCTTAGACAAATATGCTCCCCAAATGAGTTATTTCTTCCAATAAACGATTGAGAGTGAAAGAGTGTATTCTCATTACAGTCCTCGCTGGTGTCATGAAAAACATATCCTGCCATGATTTTGGTGATAAAAAGATGATGACTTAACCCAAACTGTCTCTCTTTCTTGATTTTGTTTTAAACGACACACACTAACATTTTAAAATAGAATTTAAACAGGTGCCCAGTAACAGAATGACAAACGTTAAGTGTGAAATCAGAAAGTTAAAAAACTAAACCGCAGATGGTCACCTTTTTATTTTTTTTAACATCCGCCTGCGCTGGACCGTTAAGTGGACTCATCACTGTCAAGCCAAGCAGGGTTTGTAAAACTTGGGATGTGGGTATTCAAAGGTGACATTTGCTTGGTGCCTTTAATGATTTCTGTAATTAGTCATTTAAACAGATTGCCCTGTGATCCAAAACAGGGAATACAGAGACATGAGCTGAGAAAATTATTTCCTGGAGGCACTTTAGAGCTAATTGTGGAAAACGAGGCTTGTCTCTTTTGCAAGGCTCTCTGGATCATATTTCATTGGGTTGAGTTGGAGCTGGAGAACAACTTTCTTTAGCAAGCTATAAAATGCATATGCCCTGGAGGTGTTTTTCTTTTTGACACCACAGTGTTAAAAGACTTTGTAGGGTCACAAAATGTAACAGTTATTAAGTGATCCAAATTTACCTTTGGCAGTTTAGAAACCAGAGAAGGCAATGCACCTGGTCAGAGAAAGTTGAGGCTGCCTGGTAGAGAAAAGCCAAGAACGTAATATTTCACAGGAATAGAGTAAGACTTGGGAGAACTATGACTTTGCCTTCATTGAACTGGACAATTGTACTTTTTGTTAATAAATGTCCTTGGAGTGACAATTCTGCTCTTCAAAGATAAAAGCGGAAGCTTTCAGAGACAGAAAGGAATTCGACTATTTTAATTAATTCATCACTCTCACTAGGTAACAGCCCCTCAGTAAATGCCTTTATCTCAACAAGCCTCCATTGCTTTCTCAGAGAAACAGCTGTTTAATTTTCACCAATAATTTTGCCATGTCATGGAACTGTGTTGATAACTCAAAATTTCTTAAAAGTTGAGAAGATTTAAAATTCTGTGCCCACTCATGTTTGTACATCATAAAAAAAATATGTACTGGATGCTAACTACATGCCATGCACTTTATAAGTGTCCTAATTTATTAAACTCTCACTCATTTGAATAGGGAGGGTTTACTGATCAGAAAATAGAAGTTCAGAGCATTAAAGTAACTAGCTCGAGGTCACAGAGCCAATAAAAGGAAGAGCTAAGATTCAAACTCAGGCAATCTAGCTTCAGAACTGATGCTTAATGTGTAAACATCGTTTCTTCCCTGTCCTTCAGCATTCCCATTTCCCATCTGTAACCAAACATATGGAATGCATAAATTTCTTTTATGGGTCCTAACATCACCATAGAGCCCTAGATAAATCTTAAGTGGGTGCTGGGTGACGGTGAAGTATATTAAAAATGAAAGTTGCTGATAAAATTGACCTGATTTCACTACTCAGAGGAATAGAGTGTTACTGTGAAAGACATAAAAGATCATTAATGTTTTGACGGCTGGAGAGAATACAGTGCCATGAAGTAAAGAATTCAACTACATTATTCCACTAACTTCTGGTGGTCTGGAGCTCTGACCACACCAGGGGAAGAGCAAGGGGAGAGTCAGAACTTCAGAATCGGTGGATGGTGCATAAAGCCCCGTAGTAGCATCTGCTTTTCCATCTCAAAATCCCTAACATCTCCATTGCAGATTGTCTTACATTTTGCCACAAGTCATCTACTGTTCGGATTTTTCAATCTAGCTGACTTAGAAAGCAGAATTTCAGGTAAACAACAGAAACACCCTGGGGCCATGGGACAATTCCTTTGGTTGACATGCAAATCTCCCTCCCAGTGACCTATGACTTTGTGAATTCTTCAGTGAATTTCCGACACAAAATCAAATCTAAACATTATTTTCAAAAGGAAGCAGAAGCAAAGAATTACACTAAAACTTGTGTGTTTGCCAAGTCACCTGATCTTTATGGCCTTGTCCTGTGCAAAATAGGGAAAAGCGAAACCACTCAGTGGTCCTTGAGACAGGAAAAACAATTTGGCATAAACCGTTCTTTCCTTTTTGAGAACCCGATGTGGCAGGAGACGTTGGGAACCTCAGCGGCTCTAATCCTGGTTGCCTAAACATGCTCATGGAGGTGGGGGACAAGTATATTTGTCTCAACGAGCAGGGAAAGCTCAGCAGAATGCTAAGTAGCTATTTCAGTGGTGCTGATTGATTTACAGTGATGGGACAGATGTGACCTCCTCAGTCAAAGTCAATGTTTTCTTGGCTCTCAAATTTCAGAAGAAAATACAAATATAAATGATAAATAATGACAAACCCCAGATATAAGCCTCAGAGTCATTGCCTCCGCAATTATTAATGCCTGCTAGGTTTCTAGCACCCTGCTAGAGACTGACAACAACATAATAATCATCTAAGACCTATCTCCTGTTCTCTATAATATTCATAATCATAAAGTTGCAAGAAGTATGTAGTTTTAAAAAATCACAGCACGGAGAGTTTTCTTTGCACCATGAATTTTGCTTTTCCAACTAAGGGTTAACAGACACACATAAGTGTGCCTTGCACATAGTCTTCCTCTTGTCTGGAATACCCTTCTCTTCTTCATCTGCCTGGAAAGCCTTCATATGTAATTCGAAGTCCAGCATGGCTGTCACCTCAATAACATGAAATCTCACTGGCCATGCCCATCCAGCAATACCCGTCACTTTCCTTTGAACCTGACTACATCACTGCAATTCAAGATACTACTGTAGCTGCCTGTGTATGTGCCTAGCTGTCCCACGCAGTGACCTCCTGTGGTTGACAATCTTCCAGACTATGGCTCATCTTTAGAAGTATTTCTGGGTAACTTAAAAAAAAAATGCAGAAGTCCACGTTCCAATCTAAACCCACTGACATAGGATTTCCAGAATGTTGGCCTGCACATCTTTAGTTTACTAAAGATACATAGATAGTGTTGAGTGGCTACCAGGACATACAAGCACTTGGTGCATCTGATTCCTCTTTATAGTTCTGATGCTAGGCACAATGTCTAGTATGAAGCAGTGCTCAGATCACGCTCATGGACTGAATGAATTTGTTTCATCTGCTTTTTATTCCTTCTTGCAGGTAAATATCTAAATTATCTGCGGCAACAACTTGGTGAGGTCAACTCGAATACTTTTGTCGGCTGTTCCTGAAGATTTCTGGGTCTCTACAACCACATTCTTTGGCTGTTGCTGGTGTTTAAGCACTCCGGTAGGTGAAAATATTTCCTTTTGAACAGTGATTATGTAAAGTTTTGAAGTAAACAGGTTAGAATTTAGAAACAAGAGAGATTTATCGCCAAAATGTGACAAGTAAATAAAAATTAGTTGTACCCACCTCTCTGTTTATTCATACTTATGTCCAATTCAGAGTAGGAAAAAAAATCACATTATAGCTTGGTGCAGAGAACCAAATTCTAATGGGGTGTTAGCATACAGAGTCACTTTTATTCCTGAGTTGACTCTCTTTATTTTTTGTTTTTCGTGTTTTGGGAAATTTTTGTGACTATTTGTCCCTTCCACTGATTTCTGGTAAGACTTTCCTGAGTTCAAATTTACCTATGTGTTCTCAAGAGACAGTATTGGAAGGGAGATGAATTTTGATTTGCCAATAGTTACAAACAGCTGTTAGTTTGGCTCCACTCAGGAATAATCTATATACACATTCCTGTAACTGAACACAGCTACTGATCAGTATATAATCCAATTGATTAATGGATCTCAGTGCCTCTTCCTTCATGGTGGATGGAGCTAAATAAATAGATAAAATGCGCATTGTGCCATAACATGACTTCCTTAAATTTCTTCCTTTGGTTCCTTATTTTCTATGATGTAGAAACTGTATAGCAGAATGTTTGGAGGTGGCGTGTCAAATTTGGAAAGCTGACAGTGTGACTGAGCTAGTCATGGGGATCTTCACAGAAAAGGCAGTCTGGGTCCTGGTCCACTGGAGATTCCAACTGTATGGTGAGTGAGTGTACCGTAAAGCTTTTGCTGAGGGCTCTAGCAATTTCTCTCCGAACCATCTGGCTGTCCCGGCTGGCTGCTGTTGATAAAGAACCACAGGGAGATTAGCACTGATTGCACACGCATGGGTGACTGCTGTGACTCCAACTTCAAGTACTTTGTCTTTGACCTGCCAGGGCAGGGAAGAGGCGGGGCACTCAGAGGAAGCCAGGTGGGCACTCAGAGGAAGCCAGGTTGGCACTGACAATCAGCGATGTTCACACAGACAAGGCAGGGGATACTCTAGTGCAGCAAAGTGCCCTGGCTCTATCGGAACTCTTTCTGTCCACTGTCATCTCTAGAGTGTCATTCCTAGGAGCTTTGGATGAAAAGAGAGACAAGCCCTGGAAAAAGCCAAGACAGAACTATTATTTCTTATACAGCCCTGCTCACCAGCTCCCAGGGATCTCTGGGTTTCAGGTCTTGTATGTAATCAGAATTTATATCAAGGATAGTGACAGGAACCAGGAAGCATTTAGAGCTCCCCACAGACCTTTCTTAGAGCTGCAACCTCACTACCATTTTTTTCCTGTCGCAAATGCTATCAGCAGGCCGTAAAGTCCCCTCCATAGCAACCTGAGTGTTTACTAGATTCTTCCATTTGCAGTGAAATATTGGTATAGTGAATGCTGTAAATTCCCTAAAGTCAGATCTAAGCCCCTTAGAGAAGATGAGGATGTCTGAGAAAGCACAGTTTTCAAATGATTGTCACTGGTGTTCCTGTCCTCTGTCCCTAAGTAACGGCTTGCATCATTTTTTAGCAGCCTAATGTATTATCCTTGGCCTGAGTTTTCTCTTGAGGCAGTAAATGCCCTCCCACTGCCTATCCTCCCAGCTCTAGGACATATCGGAGACAAAATTAACTTCTCAAAGAAGCAATTTTTACTATAAACCTAATATTGTAAGAATTATCTCGGCTGGGTGCCGTGGCTCACGCCTGTAATCCCAGCACTTTGGGAGGCTGAGGCGGGCGGATCACGAGGTCAAGAGATCGAGAGACCATCCAGGTCAACATGGTGAATCCCCGTCTCTACTAAAAATACAAAAAATTAGCTAGGCATGGTGGCGCGTGCCTGTAATCCCAGCTACTCAGGAGGCTGAGGCAGGAGAATTGCCTGAGCCCAGGAGGCAGAGGTTGTGGTGAGCCGAGATCGTGCCATTACACTTCAGCCTGGGTAACGAGTAAAACTCCGTCTCAAAAAAATAAAATAAAATAGAATTATCTCACATGGCTACAGAATTTCTAACTATACAGTGTAGGACCCACCATAATTCCTATTAGCACATCCATTAGCATGTTAGAAATTGAAGAGTGGGGCCTGTGTTTCTTTCATCTTTCTACTTTCACTGCTAGGAAAATCATCTTATATAGGAGATACTCAATTAAGATTAAGTTTTTAATTCATTACTATTTGACTGATAGGGCATCGAGCCAAATGATGAAGTGGAATTTTCAGTCCAAGGCCTTGAGGTTGGGGTCGCATTTTAGCCCTTTGTTCTGTCTGTCCTCTGCCCTCTGCAGTCAGTCCCAAGGCTGTCAGTTGGATATCATTGTTGCTGTGACAACATCAATAAGTGGGTTGGTTTCAAAGGCCCTTGGGAATAGAAAACACTTTATAGTGTTTTGACAGGCAACAGACAGTAAGGGCAGCTCTACAAAAAGGAGGGAAATTACTGACTTTACGAGACAAAGACTGAATTTTTTCCAGGGTGTTTACAAAACTCACTGACCTGTCGCAACATGAGCTGAGAGAATTACTTGATTCATTGTTAGAGACCAGATGTGCAGGCTGTGCACAGACACCACCCCGTCGACTGCTAAAATAAGCTCTTTCACACCATTGTAATTCAGGCTCTTTGGCACACCTGACAAAAGGTAAGAGATGGAGGCTGTAGTTATTCAACTAAATACAGCTCATCGAGTTACCTAAACAAGCGGCAGAGTCCTCACCAAAATTTCCACATGCTCATCTCTGCTGGTTTCTTACTTCAAATGTTTACAAATAAGATTTACCTGAGTTCAAGGCTTACCATCAATCAAAAGTTCCCACTCAGAATATTAGCAGAATTTACTATGCAATAACCAACAACGGTACTTATCCTTAGGTTTTATGGCATATTATTTAACTGTGCCTTTCCCAACTATCTTTATATACACTCTGGAAAGCAAAATGAAGTAATATGAAATTTGGCATCAAATAATCATGAGTTAGCATCCTGATGACAACTATTGTGAGTTTACCCAAATCCCAGAACTTCTCTGGTCATCAGCACATCTGTAGTAAACTAAGGGCGATAAGAACAACACATAGATCACAGAGATCTCTGAGGAGCAATTCAGAAAATATTTAATCATTGTGAACGGCAATGTTGTACAAATGTTAGTTACCCAACAGGTCATTTAGTGAACTGGGCTGATAGAGGATCCTACATTGTATAATACTTATTTGGTTTGTAAGTTTTCCATTATTTTAGCTACATTGGAGGATGCTGTAGCAGAGATATCTAAGTACAGCCCTTTTTTAGCTTCTACTTCAGTTATGTACAAACAGCACAAATACCTGGGGTGTTTATTAAAAATAAATGTACTATGACTCCATTCCAGACCTAAAGGAAATTTCTGTGGATGAAGTTCCAAAATCTAGAGTCTTTCAGAGTGGTTTTCAACCTTGGATGCACATTAGTATTACCAGAGGAGATTTTGGAAATCCTGATGACCAAGTTATACCTAAGACCAATTAAATCAGAATCTCTGTGGATAGGACCAATATCAGTGCTCATTTGGTGATTCAATCAGGCAGCCAAGATTGAGAACCACTGCGCTAACATTCATGAGCCACTGCACAGCTCTGCTTTGCAGTGGTTCTCAAGCCTGACTACATGTTTTTAAAAATACCAAAGCCAGCCGCAAACCCAGACAATTAAATCGGAATCTCTGGGTGATATAATTTGCATGTTGGTCCTTGCCAATGTCTCATGTTGTATTTTAATCCCCAATGCTGGAGATGGGGCCTGGTGGGAGGTGTTTGGGTCATGGGGCAGATCCCTTATACCTTGGTGCTGTCTTTGCGATGAGTGAGTTCTTGTGAGATCTGGTCATTTAAAAATGTGTGGCACTTCCCTGCCCTTGCTCCATTCTCATCATGTGATGTGCCTGCCCCCTCTTTGCCTTCTGTCATTATTGGAAGCTTCTTGAGGCCTCCCCAGAATTCCTATACAGCCTGCAGAACCATGGGCCAATTAAACCTCTTTACAAGATACCCCATCTCAGGTATTTCTTTTTTTCCTTTTTTTAATTTTTATTGCATTTTAGACTTTGGAGTACATGTGCAGAACATGCAAGACAGTTGCATAGGTACACACATGACAGTGTGTTTTGCTTCCTTTCTCCCCTTCACCCACATTTGGCATTTCTCCCCAGGCTATCCCTCCCCAGCTCCTCCCCCCCGCTGCCCCTCCCCTTTTCCCCTCAATGGACCCCAGTGTTTAGTACTCCCCTCCCTGTGTCCATGTGTTCTCATTTTTCATCACCCACCTATGAGTGAGAATATGCGGTATTTCATTTTCTGTTCTTGTGTCAATTTGCTGAGAATGATGTTCTCCAGATTCATCCATGTCCCTACAAACAACACGAACTCATCATTTCTGATTGCTGCATAATATTCCATGGTGTATATGTGCCACATTTTCCCAATCCAGTCTATCATCGATGGGCATTTGGGTTGGTTCCAGGTCTTTGCTATTGTAAACAGTGCTGCAATGAACATTCGTGTGCATGTGTCCTTATAGTAGAACGATTTATAGTCCTTTGGATATATACCTAGTAATGGGATTGCTGGGTCAAATGGAATTTCTATTTCTAAGGCCTTGAGGAATCGCCACACTGTCTTCCACAATGGTTGAACTAATTTACACTCCCACCAACAGTGTAAAAGTGTTCCTTTTTCTCCACATCCTCTCCAGCATCTGTTGTCTCCAGATTTTTTAATGATCGCCATTCTAACTGGCATGAGATGGTATCTCAATGTAGTTTTGATTTGTATCTCTCTAATGACCAGTGATGATGAGCATTTTTTCATATGATTGTTGGCCTCATATATGTCTTCTTTTGTAAAGTGTCTGTTCATATCCTTTGCCCATTTTTGAATGGGCTTGTTTGTTTTTTTCCTGTAAATCTGTTTGAGTTCTTTGTAAATTCTGGATATCAGCCCTTTGTCAGATGGGTAAACTGCAAAATTTTTTCCCCATTCTTTTGGTTGCTGATTCACTCTAGTGACTGTTTCTTTTGCCGTTCAGAAGCTGTGGAGTTTGATTAGGTCCCATTTGTCTATTTTGGCTTTTGTTGCCAATGCTTTTGGTGTTTTGTTCATGAAGTCCTTGCCTACTCCTATGTCCTGAATGGTTTTGCCTAGCTTTTCTTCTAGGGTTTTTATGGTGCCAGGTCTTATGTTTAAGTCTTTAATCCATCTGGAGTTAATTTTAGTGTAAGGTGTCAGGAAGGGGTCCAGTTTCTGCTTTCTGCACATGGCTAGCCAGTTTTTCCAACACCATTTATTAAACAGAGAATCCTTTCCCCCTTGCTTGTTTTTGTCAGGTTTATCAAAGATTGTATGGTTGTAGATATGTTGTGTTGCCTCCAATGCCTCTGTTTTGTTCCATTGTTCTATATCTCTGTTTTGGCGCCAGTACCATGCTGTTTTGATTACTGTAGCCTTGTAGTATAGTTTGAAATCCAGTAGTGTGATGCCCCCCACTGTGTTCTTTTTGCTTAGAATTGACTTGGCTATGCGGGCTCTCTTTTGGTTCTATATGAAGTTCATGGTGGTTTTTTCCAGTTCTGTGAAGAAAGTCAATGGTAGCTTGATGGGGATAGTGTTGATTCTGTAAATTACTTTGGGCAATATAGCCATTTTCATGATATTAATTCTCCTAACCATGAACATGGAATGTTTCTCCATTTG